TACATAGCAATAGTTTATTTGAGGATTTTCAGTCAGGATTTAGAGTTCATCACAGCACAGAGACAGCACTGGTTAAAGTTAATAACAACCTTTTAATTGCTTTCGACAATGGACTTTGAGCATCAAATTGGCATTAAAGGAACCAACTATAGACTCATTTTTAACCTCCCCTTCCTCTCTAAAATTCTAGTGTATAGAATTGGTCCAGGTACAGAACCTTGTGGAACTCCACGACTAACTTTAGTGTTAATGGAGGATTCATCATTAAGGTGTACAAACTGAGAACGATCTGATAAGTCTCTTCTGAGTTTGACTTAAACCAGCTTAGTGCCTTTAATGCCAATTTGATGCTCAAGTCTCTGTGTTCGGTTCTATATGCTGTTTTTATCTCCATCAAAAGCATGAAAGCAGTCAAATCTGTGAAGTTTCCCAAAGTATTCAAGTATTTCAGCCTGAATGAGGTGTTCATGGTATGAATACTAATACTACAGTGTGTCACTATGTATTAGCTATAAAGAAATTCCAATGGGCCCCAAAAGCTGTAAAATGTTTCCACGCAGCGTTATTGAAGGTTACTGAGTCATATTCTTATATCAGAAAAGTCATATTTGCTTATTAAGTAGCACTTAATCGTTCATTATTAGCAATATGCATATGTTATTTTAGCTTAATGTGTGTAAATGCAAACGTTATAAATGGGAGCTCCAACAGTGGTGGAAAGATAGTACATTTACTCGAGTATTGACGTACTTGTACTTAACTGGATCATTTACATTTTCTGTTAATTTAGAGGCAAATTGCACTTTTTACTCCACTACAATGAATTCATACCTTTAGTTACTTTGTAAATTTAAATTAATAAAACAAAATATATTAAAAAAAAACATTTATGATATTAAAAGTTAAGATACAACTGTATTGATCTCCGGGGCAAAAGTGACCCATGAGTTCCTTAAAATGAGCTCCAGCTTTATCAGCTGCAACGTTTGAGTTACAAACACTTGAAGGCTTCAATAATATCAAAAGAATTCTTCTGAAAAGGAGAATTCTGCATATTGAATGCTTTTAAACACTTTTGGACTTTTAGTAACATTTTGAACGCAGCACTTCACCAACTGCACTGATGTTCTCTGTTGTCCTGTGTAGGCTGTATAAATGAGACAGACGGATCGGTCAAACAACAGGTTCACACTGACTATAAATGTCTGAATGTCTGAATATTAACACAATATACGACAATACAGCCGACATTCTGACTGTTGTAATATTCTTTATTTCAACTTATTGTACATGTAAAAAGACATTTGGATTCAGTCAGGCAGAAGATACTAAGACTGTACTTACTGCACTTTGTATTACATAAACAGATTTAAAGGTAGACCGAGTGCAGGATCTGCTGTTTACGGGCAGAGGTCAAATAATTGCTCATGATTTTAAAGCCATGAAAATTACGCAGAGAATCCATGTTTAATAAGCACGTAACTGCTGTTCTACATCAAACACATTTGGACAGTCTGAAGCTGTTATTCTGTAGTTACTGCGGTCTGCCTCTAGGGGGCAGCACCTTGCAATCTTCTGCCTCAGTTTCACTGACTATATCTGACACACCTTCTGGAAACCTGGGTTAGTTTAAATGAAACACATTTAACTTCTGTAACGTTTAATCTTTTCCTGCTTCAATAAAAGTGAAAAGTGTTATTATGACAAACTGATGATGTTTCATTATTTTAAATATACAAAACTGTAACTATAGTAACTGCTGCACCATCTGATGCCTCTTAATACGGAAGGATTAACATTTAATCACACACACACAGTAACTTATGTGTCTGACCCTTTGATCTTCACTACAATTCCTCAATTGAATTGAACTAGACATCACACAAGATCACGTGACTTCTGCATCGCCATTTGAACCCGGCTGTTAGATGAATGTTTTAGATGTAGATAATGTTCCATACCATTCAACAGGGGACCCCTGTCATTCTATACAGTCCAAGTGTGGACCAACTTTCTGTTTTAGATTGTGAGGTTCCAAACAAAAGTCAACATATAAAGCCCTGTTCATAGATCTGTATCATTTTGTGATGGTTCTGAGATGAGCTGCCAATAGCTCATTACCCATTCAATGCCGATTTAAAGCACTAACATACGACTTAGACTTTACAGCTTAAGATACATTTCAGTTGACAATACTGATTCAATTCAACTGAATTTTATTTAGTTCCAAATCATAACAGAAGTTATCTCAGGGCATTTCATATAGAGCAGGTTTAGACCATACTCCTTATAAAATGAAGGAGGAAATTAGGACTTATAAAGTGGCCCATACTGAGTCAAATCAGTGTGAACTCTAATGCAGCCTGTGTGCTTTCACTGTAATAAACTTCAGTTGTCTCATCTGCATCCATTCTGAACAACCTCTAATATGCCTTCTATATTACCAATAATGTACAACTTTATTGAACGACAGATTGTAAATATTAAGGGGGAAAAACAATGACAGTTTGAAATGGCAGTAGGTCTTTAGTCCCAACAAAACCCAATCTGCACTATCATTACAGGGACGGTGAATTTAAGCGTAACACCATTTCACCCACCAATGACAGTAGATGCCTGGGGGTCTAACAAGTCCGGATTATTGTCTGTCATTACTGTTTTCCATTCCACAATACACTCACATTCCAAAAAACTACAATGACACACATATTGATGCCAACCTTTAAATAAAATAAAACAACATCACTACAGAGTTTATTATTTAGTTACGTTAGATTATTACTTTCTTCCTAAGATTTTGCTTATTTCCCTTTTTTATTTCACCCAATGCCCGAGTGTGAATGTAGTTCTATGCTATCAAGTGGGGGATGTGTTCCATTATGTACCACCCAACAACAGTGACTCGTGTCATTCTAATAAGTACGAATGGACTTTTTATGTAATGGAGAATCCTAAAATGCCAAACTGAGCTTGTTAAATTGACAAAAACTGCTGATGCCGGCATCCATGATCGTAAAAAGTGTAAGTGAGTATTTTGGTTGGGACTGGAGCCATTTAAAGGCTAGTCCAGAGTTTCTAAACAAGTGTATTAATTAAAACTAAAGTAAGAACTGCTTACTACGTGTTGTTGATTACTCATTTTTTTTGTTTCTTGCTTTATTGATTTTTTTTTTTATTTCTTTCTTGTTTTCCTTTTATTGTTCT